GCGGGGGGCTAGGACCCTCCCTGGCCGTGGGGTCAGGGGGAGAGAGAGCATCGGCCCAGCCCAAGCCCTGCCAGCTGGAGCAGCAGCCTGAGTCTGGCCGAACCCCTGCTAGCTGGGGGAAGAGGGGGAGCTGGGACTGGACTGGCCTGGCCTCAGGGAGGTCAGGCAGACAGAGGGAGAGAGCCAGGGCAGGCCAGAGCTGCCATGCCTCGGCCTGGCCCTTTCCGAGGGGCAGTTGGGGCTGCCAACCCCCAGAGGGGTGTTGGAGAGTGTAGCAAGCAGGGGGCACTGCCCCCTAGTGACTTTAAAAGCTAAATTTGAATTAATCATTTCCGGCTCAGAAATTTGAAGGAATCTGACAATTGTAAAGTTTACCTACATTACTAGCAACACCTTAAATCAGGGGTGGGGAACCTTTTTTGGATTGGGGCTGCTGACCCACAGAAAAATCAGTGGGGTGGGAGGCATCTGGCCCCTGAGCCGTAGGTTCCCCCCTTGGTGTGAAATTAAGAAAAATGGAAAATATTTCTACTGTTTGGTTTTATTAAAAAACCCAAACAACAGTTTGTTTATTTATTTTCCAAAGTCTAAATTCTGAGAGAACCACTCTAACCTGCCAATGTCTATTTAATGGCCCATTTGTTAACTTAAATACGTTAGTACTGATTCTGTTTGTTTTTTTTCCAGTTGGGAAACCCAAGATGCAGGTGATCGCTGCGTGCCGGGATGCCATTAGAAACAACAATCTAAATATGCTGTTCAGGGTAATGCGAGTGGGGACTGCATCCTTGTAAGAGGGGAATAATGATGGCCTGGGGATGGTACTTCCTTACAACAGATCACGCTAGACACACGAACAGATGTCATAGGAACAGGTGCTCTGTAGTACTTTCTATCTGACCGGTCCCCAAGTAAGCCATTGGGAGATGAAGGCAGGGTACTCGATGTGTAGTAACGTAGAAGGGACCGGTATTGACAAGCAATTAAATTATCCCGTTGCCTGTTTTAGAATGAAGTAATTGGAAAGATAGTCAGCTTTTTTTAAAGTAGCCATCAGATGGAATTTGCTACTCTGAAGGCTAAAGGATAGGAAAATCCATAGAGACAGGCTTAAAGTTTTAAAGTGCAGATGTGGTATTTATGTAAGTCATTCAAGGCAATTGTATTGCCCTGGAATAGTTATTTTTCTTACTGTAAATTATTATGGAATTTAATATATTTTGCATTTATGGTATCAGCTTTTCCATTAAAAAAATAGGACTGTCGGACTTTCCCCGTGTGTGTTCAATTGGAAAAATGCATAATTATGTTTATTTATTTTATATTAATGAAACACATTTCAGGTTTTGGCTCCATAGTTGTCAGGCATTTTGATCACAGCCTATACCAAATGAGAGGTATTATATTAACACACTACTCTTTGAGGGTACCTTAACACTTAAAGATAAGAAGGTAAATAAAAAGAAATAATGAGTAGTTGGATTCTTTTTAAGAGGCTCAGTCAACTTGTTAATTTGATTGTAGTGCATAATTCGGATGGACTGCTGTTGAATTTGCTTGAATATGAATAATTTTATTAGGTGCCCCATATTCAGCATGAAGACATATGGTCACCTAAGTAGGGGGCTGGATTAGAGGGTAAATTTTTATGCCACAGCTGATTCCTCTTAGGAGCTAAAAATAATTTTTAACTGAGGTAGCCTGACCTGGAGTGTATCTTCAGCATCTTTTTTCTTCATGCTACAAGCAACTTCCACATGTAACCATCAATACCTGCATACAACAGGGAAGGGAAGGGGAGGGGAGGTGTCCTCATTCCTCTAGGGCTAGATGCACACATGGGAAGGAATTCTTGGACAACTTCTCTGTAGCTAACAGGCTTCTTCTGCAAGCTCTGAAATAGAGCCAGTGGTGTGTCATCCGCCAGAGAGACTAGGGAGCATTGAACTGGCTATAAACAGAATTATTTCTTGAAGTCTTTTAATCTTGAGAATGGCACTTGCCATTGATTCATTCCCTCAATAAGGAGAACCATGCTGGTGCAAACATCTGCCATTTCAAATGGGCTGCAATAGCTTATTGAATTTGTGTAAGAATTACAGGTTGCACCTCTAAAATCCAGGATTCTCTGGTTCGGCAACATCCATGGTCCAGTATCACAACTGATGTTCCAGGATCAGAGCGTCCCGGCATGCTGCAGAGGGGTGGGGGCATGGGACCTGGCACGCGGCTTAGTTGGGTTGCGAGAGCGGGTGCAGCAGGGGGCCAGAAATGATCTCTCCTGATCCGGAAGTATCCCTCATCTGGGCACAGTCAGGATCAGGATGCGCTGGATCAGGAGGCCCAACCTGTAGATTGTCAATTTAACTCTGCTTCTAATTAAGAGCCACCTGTTCCATTCTGGGTGAGTGAATACTTTATTATGGCACAATCTGTAGGATTAATAAGACTTGGGATCCCTGCCACTTCCTGTAGTTGTAGGAAAAGATTCCCATAGCTCTAAGCTCTTTTCCTTGCTGATTCCTCAGACTTGCTTACTTTTATGGTGAGTGCAGTTTGTTCAACAGCTAGACAGTGGCTTTGATTGGAAGGCAGACCACGTTGTTGTAGCTTGACATGGTGATTATCAAAGCTACATACCATACCCCTTTACTCCATCATGTCTCCATTTTGTGCCTGCAGGCAAGCTGTATTCCTGTAGCAAGTCAGTTCCTCTATACTAATAGTCCAGCTCTGTAATCAGCAAACTCACCCTGAAGTCAGGAGATTTGATACTTGGCTCTCTTACTGCAAGAACTTGTTTTAAACTGATCTTCCCTACCACTCATATCTTAAAAGATTAGCCAAGCTACGCAGCACTGAAATAAAGCAACTCAGGTGCAGTACAGCAGTAGGCAAAGAGGTCAAGGCAAGAAGAGCAGAGAAGTCAGTGG